CGCAGGTTTAATTGACAGATATAAATACAAAAAAGTTGTGATAAATGGGACTTGTAAAGAGCCTGAAACATTGGGTTTATTTGAAAAAAAAAAAATGGCAAATATACGGGATTTACATCTGAAAAGTTTTAGTTCCAAAGTCGAGCTAGATTTCTGCTCTCCCTGCCGTTACTAACGCGTTCGTATTTTAAGAAGGAGAATGCCAAAAAAGTTTTGACGTTGGTTCCGCCCAAATTTGTGAAACAAATATATGCCTGAAGTTCGCGTGACATGCGACAAGAGTTGTTGAATTTTGCGCATTAAAAGTACCAAATTGGTTTTAGCAGAATAACAACAAAACTAAAGGGATTAAAAAAAATCCGTAGTGACTGTTGTCGATCATGCATAAATATAATTAATTATCTACCTAATTTTTGTCCTAATAACCTGTAGCATTTCGAGGATAAATCGAAAAAATGTGAAAATTAGAGGTCATTTCGTGATTTTTACCTATCGAGAAAACGATTAGGAATTTTTCCTCTGCTCCCTCCTAATACTTTCAAGATATTTGCACCACACAAGCACTATTTATATTTGCACAAGTTATTTTTTTCTTTGAAAAAAATTCAGTTACGCAGATTTAGCTTGGGAATAAAACTGAAACTAAATAAGATACAAAAAATTCGATTAGAGATCTTGTTTCACTGATTCCAGATATGTTCATAACTCAATTTCGCCAGAATGTCGTTATGTAGTTATGATGAGGAGGGCTGATTTGTAGTAAATACCTTTTTTTAATGAAAATGGATAGCCTTAAGAATGATCCTATTTATTTATTTATTGTTCATTAAATGCACTTGCTGTTGATCACTACCTAGCTCTAGCAAAGATAGGATCTACGATGTAACGACGTGCCACTTTGCGCCGGTGTTCTAAACTATGAAGTTTAGATTCGAGCTTATCGTCGCCAATAAGTCTCCTGACTCTGCGCTTAATCGAATCAAGAGTCTCAAGTTGATACTTCGCTGAGCCATCCCACAGGTGACTGCAATAATCATACTTAGTACTCCATGCAAGATCGGACTTGTGCTTATAAATTGAAATATCGCTTAACCTTATTAAAGATACCCAGTTTTTTGACTGCAATTTGTGCCTTACAGTGCATTTTTACTCTGTTCTATTGCTCTGTCTTGTACGGAACCCCCGGTAAAAAGCAGAGCTTTTCAAATGTTGTTATTCCGGCAATACAGTTACAACGAGCGCGGAGATAATGATGGCCCGAGTTGCCGAAATCGCAGCTTGGGTTCGACGCCCACCCGGGCCCGTTTCTCTCAGTAGGGATGCGAGGTCGGAGAATATAGAGTGCAGTTTATATAATGACAATACTTTATTCTACTGTCCAGTTGATAAGACGCTGCGCAAACATAATCTCAGTACAAAGTACTAAAAAAACCGACCTCAAAAGTTCACGAACTTTAATATGTATATAATTCCACGGATTTATATACATATTTGCCAAATTATATTGAAATCGGTGCGAAACCGAATTTATCCCCTAGTTTGCCACCCTTAGAGGTGGAATATTTTCTTCAAATTTAAATGGGACCACTACGGGATATATTCTTTCCAACAAAAAAAGAATCATCAATTTGAAGTCGGTTAAAAAACGTACGATGTTTTTAGTTTGCTTTGTCTACACTAGAAAACCATGTTTTAATACTCATTCAATTTCATAGATGGTCTAAAAGGTAAACAAAATGGCCGATTGATTATAGCAAATATCTGTGAGAAAAATATTATGACAGATGACCTTAAATTTTTATTGTGAAGAGTTTTATTTCAATAAAATCAATATTGCGATACCGGTCAGATACCACCAAGAATCTACGACAATACTACCTACATACATATTTAGTACAAGCGCTGCCGTTAAATGGCTATAGTCGAATTTTAAAACAAGCAAGAAAGTTCAACAATTCAATTCACTAAATTTACTGAATTAAATATTCGGTATCTTACTGCTTCTCCATAATGTTAACAAGGTATTAAAAAAATAATATAGAGATCGTGTATGGACCCTGTCGTATAATAGTGGCAAAGATGTTTTATAATCTAAATGATAATAATATATTTTTCACTTCTCATGATCTAAAAGTACGTCAATATAGATTTTCGTAGCGGGAGTAAAGTGCATCCTTCTTTAAACTAAAAAGCACCTAATTTTTTAATTTACTTCGAGTGAACAAACACAAACAGCCAGTAGTATAGTCGGTTTTAGTTCCGTGCATTTTCCGCATAGACGGTGGCGCCATAATAGTTTCCCGCGTTAGTGCGTTTGTTGTATCTCTGGTTGGAAAAACTTCAGAATTTTGGTTCGTAATTTTGTTGTAGACCGAAAACTGTTGATTTTTTTTTCTCGCAATTGAAGCGAAAAGAAAAGTTTTCGCCTCGAGACTAAAAGCCAATATAAACCCTCGGAGTAATAGACTCTAACCACCTCGGGTATGTATTGGGTCGTTTTAGTCTATGCTATTTACTACGGTCTTAAAAACCAAGGGGCGCGGACTCTGTTTTGGCCTCTAGATTCCGTTATTAATATGGCTTGACTTTTTGCGATTAACGTTGAAACCAACAATTAAGTGGGATAGTTCTCTCAAGTTTGACTAAACCTCGATGGTATTGACCCTGAATTTGGGATACGAACTTTTCGTAGGTTCCGGTCAAGGTATTCTGTGTAACGCCCCGGAGTTAATTTCGGTGCTCTGGTACTTATAGCACAAGCAAATATAGTATAGTTTGAGAGCAGGTAATCTGTGTGGTTGTCTAGCACATTATTTCAGCTTTACACTCTCAGTTTAATTTTTGCAAATGGAAACAAATTGTTGTTTTCGCATTGTAACATCCCTGGTTGTGAAAACTGGATCAGTAGACAGGTTTTCGACCCCGATCGGCACAATTTGGAAGCAAGTTTCGCACGGTTAATGAGATTCCTGCTCCCGATCTTATGAGGTTTAAAAAACAACTTTTTAAGGTTGATTCAACCCATATACGGCCTGTTGGGCACGAGAGATACCCTCGAACTCAAGATCTTTTTCCGAATAAAAAAATATAGGTATGGAAATTATGGATGCAGTTGTATATTGAGAGAAGGCTTGCTTTTCGTGCAGAATATGGCTATCAACCAGGGAATCTCGGCTTTTAAAAACTGAACGTAAACATTAAAATGTTGTGAAAACCTAAAATATGCTCTCTACAAATTTTTATCAAAAAGGCGCTTACGCCCTTTCTTCCAAACACCGACGAATATAATCTGTGTCTGTGAGATAGACAATTACATGGTACCCTATGTGTAACAAGGCCACGTCAGCAAAATGAAAACATTTCAGGAAAGAGGAGGAAATGTATCGATAACTTCTTTATGCTTAAATAGCTCAGTATTTTATTAGATTATTGTACCAAGTGTTATGGATATGACATGTCCATGCGCACTTAAAGTACTAACCCTTAGATTGTTGTTATCTCTTAGATGACGTTAACTCTTACATTTCTAGACTTTTATGTATAAATTCTATATTTTTAAACTTAAATCAGTTAATTTTTAAATAGTACTTATCTGACTCACGCCGCATTGTGTAAGGCGTTATTGCGTTAATATTACCCATAGAAATGTAGTTTTTACTCATTCTTCTCAAGATATTTATCTGCCTTACAAAAGAGAAGATAAGCATTTAATAAATGTGACGATTTCAAGTGTAGTTTGCTGACTTAGGTTAGAATATAACTGTGCACAGTTCACTATTTTGGTCGCCAGTCGCTTTAGTAACCTAACATGTCTATTATGTCATGACTTGTTGAGTTTTGCAAACATCTTGATGTTATACTTTTTTACAGTACAGGCGTTTTTACTCCTTTTATTATTAACTCCGTTATTAACTCCCAAGCTGCCACTATGCACCAGCTTACATTAATGTTTCTATGATACCATGAGTCTAATTTCGTCATATACATGAGTGTGAGTGACACAGTTGTGCTACGAGTATTTTCTCTTACGTAAATACATATTTACACTCAACTTTTGTGTAAGAACTTATATTTATTACATAAGCATCAACGTGGTTCGCACTTAGGTTTGTACTTGTATTATTTACTTAAAAAATAGATGGATGAATGCAGTTCCAAATCGGCAGCTAGTATCGGAAACTACACAACGGAATTTTATTAAATTAAAAACCATCGACACATTTTTACATTGTTGGTTCTAAGATGGTACAAGGAATTTTTAAAAATAACTTTTTAACGATGGCAACGATGTGCCACACTTCAGCATGGCGGCTACTACTAGTGACGCGGGTAGCGGCATTTACTTCTAGGCCACAATAATATAATGTACAAGCCCCGTGTTGTAAGATCGACCTTAGAGACCCTGTCCAGAAGGGGCGAATTCGCCGCGAATCATCTCGCGCGAAATCAAACGCGTGTCGCCGCTTATACGATTTTAAAATTCGCGCGTAAATCGCCTGCAGTAAGTTGGTGTATTTAACAATTGGACGTAGTTAAGCAAAAAGGATCAAATCCACAAAATAAAAAAAATTAGTTACCTACTTTAGGAGTTAGACTTTAGGAACTATTTGGTACATCCAAACGGTTCCTAAAGTCTAACCTCTTAGATAGCTAAAAATCCAACATATAAACGTGACGTGACATTATAAGTTGTGAAAATAAAACAAGAGTGAGAAACACTTTTAAACTTCAAACTGCCATATCTCCAATTGAAATATCATATTATTTAAAGTCTGTATAAATTTTAAATTCTTTTTGTAGCTACCATTATTAATATGATTGAAACAGTTATTATACAAATTGATCATAATGGGTATACGATAAAAAAAGATACAAGGAATTCCCTAGTTTGAAACTAGGCAATTGGTGTGATTGCCTGGCACATTATTAATATTCGCTGGGGATACCCACTTAAAATAGCAGTTATAGGAGATTTGAGTTCGGTAACATTAAGTACTCACCCTTTCTATAACTATTTCTAAAGGTTGTCCAGTCTGTATCTCTTCCGATGGCCGTCTTGTTGGTCGCACCGCAAATTCTCTTTGTCCTATGACCTAAAACAAACAACAAAAAAATTAACTATTATTTGTAGTATAAATAACACAAAAAAAGACACGAAATTCCTTTGTTTTTGCATTCCTTTAAATTATCTAATGGCTGCAATTTATCCAAAAAACTTGTGAATTTCGCGTCATTTAAATTTAGACAAGACTTTTTGTGTTTTTTTTTCTATTCTTGAAACTAACGACAAGATCATTATTTTTTAAATTTGATTTAACACGACTGAATCTGAAATTAAAGATGTTTTATTTTTTATTTTATTTATAAATCGTAATATTTCTTCCAATCTTCTGATAACTTTCCCTTCCTTTATAGCTTTCCTCCCGCGTGTTTCCTATCCTTTATTATTATTGATTTTATTATGACGTTGACACTCTCTAAAGTTTCACTTAAAAAAAATTAGGAAAATATTTTTTTCTAGCCTCTTTGTCTTAAGTCTTGTCATTAAATTTTACCTAATACATTTTTCATTTTCTATTTACCGTAATAATTTTTTGTCATAAGAAACGAAAGTAAACCTTATGCCGCTGCAATATATAGCCTTTCAGCTATTGGTGCTAGATGGCAGCACGTTGAATGAAATTTCAATTATAAAATCAAAACAGCTTAATTTGCAATAATAAGTATTGAACATTCGCGGAAATGCCAACCGAGTAAAGTTTAAATTATGTTAACGGTCCAGAATTTGTTACATCTTTTAAATTAGTCGAAGTCACTAATCAATCATTATCAAGATTTCATAGAGTTTATCATTATAATAGCGTGAGTTTTGACGACAACGGTTCGGATAGTAATCGAGGCTCAAGGCCCTTCCGTTGTTTTTTTCTTCCGTGATTCAATCAATTCTGTCGTATTACATGCACTTAGTATTCAGGACATTGAATTAGTACGTAAATCCTTAATTTGATTATTATTACTCGTATTGATCATAATCACTCGCAGTTTGAAATATATTTAATTAATCGACTAAGTTTTTCCTGTAATTACCTGTCAGATATATTATATCTAAACTATTAAAGCATTTTTAATAGCTTTAGCTATTCACTCCTAACATCAATTTTATATTCTATACAAAATGTAGTGTAGTAGCAATATTATATATCAATTAAATTATGACGTCGTCGATGTAGTTAGTTATTTCACAATGCAACTTGTGCTGAAATAGCAATAACCCCTAGTTCGAATGGCCTATTGTCAAACGAAGTGGCTTTTCGTAGATAATACAAGTGCTTTAAAAAAAGGGATAGTATCGATATTAATAATTGAGCCTCAAACAACGAACATGTTTTCAGGTCATATTATATTATAATTAATATAATATAACTTTAAATAAAAACAAAAATATAATCAACATTTCCTTCGTTTTGAAAATAAGTATCTAAATTTTATTTTTAATTCCCATTTTGTCTTAGTTTTCAGGCCCAACATAAAACTGTTAAAGTTAATTTATACAAATCAAACATTTTTTGCATAGCTCAAAACAGATTAAAATATCCATTGATTTAATTTATTTTATGTCTCAGAGAGAGAGAGTCTCTGCTGCTTTTGCAAATTTAAAATGATTATTTAAATACATGCCTTTAAAAAAGCATGTGTTCAATCAACCAATAGGATTTCGTTATTATGACGTCTCTATTGGAGAAAATAAATAACTCTATTGGAGAAAGTAAAGTATATAATATCAGAAGTGCAAAGCCGGATCCGAACCCACGACACTCGGCTTGAGAGGCGGTAAGGCAAAGTATTAGGCTACTAGGCTTTGGAATTAGATTTGAAATTTACCATGAGCTTTTCGGTGAAGGAATATATCATGAGAAAAACAATCCTTTGCCTCTACCATGAGATCACAGTGACAATTATCGCTAGAGACCGCATAAAATGTTTGTATTCAAAGTATCACAGTAAAATCGTGGTAGAGGCACTTGTCATAAGTAACGCATTTGCATTTCGGTAACTTTCTGCAGTTTTAGCACAGATTACTTAAGACTTACTACGTAACACATACATCACTCTCATACAAAATCGAAAATACCTACACTATAATAGCCTACTAAATCTGACTAATGACAGCAGGCGTCTACTACGAGGAAAAAGGAAACTAAGCACGCTCTAAGAGAGGTGAAAATAAGGGTGCCCGCTGTGTGCATTCGCGCGGAACCGAATGCTGGGGTTGTACAAGGATTGTAATGTACATAAAAAACTTTTCTGAGTGCTTGCACTGTCGGCGATACACTCAGCGCTAGGCACGCGTAACCTCGAGCGAGTGATGGAGCCCTGGTTTTAGTGTCACCTAAAAAAAATGTAAATTACGCAAAATAAAACTGAAACTAAATAAGACATTAAAAAACCGATTGGAGGGGGTTGAGATCTCGTTTCACTGGTCCCAGATATGTTCATAACTCAATTCAGCTAAAAATATCAATTACGTTAATTATGGCAAGGAGAGCAGACCTGCATACCTCTGGAAAGCAATTTAATGATGTGTGTGAAGTTCGCAATTGGGCCCACGTGGAAACTACAGCCCTAGCACTCTCAATTTGAGAGATGGCCTGTACCCAGCAGTGGGACCTTTATGAAATTAACTATTATTATTTACGTATTATTGGAAGAAAATTGGCGGGTTTTTGTGGTTTACACTTTTTACACCGACTTCTTTTTTTTACAATATCAAGTGACGGGGCGAACAAGTCCTGCGCCTGATGTTAAGCTACACGCCTGTCCATAACAGTTGCAGCGCTACTCAGAACTTTAAATCGCAAAGATTTGAGGGGCACTGCTACTGCGCCCGTCACCCTGAAACATAAGTTGACAAGTCCCATGTGTCTGACCGTGCCTAACAAGTGCACGACACACACCGACAGACACCGATATTATAAAAAAAAAACCACCAGACTTCAAAAACGGAGGTTCTCAATTCGACTGTTTTTTTTTGTGTGTATTATACGCGATTATTTCGGCATTTGTGATCCGATTTTGTTTACCCGATTTAAATGGGTCCAATACCATTCAGTTATTGGTCCCATTTAAATTT